AACAACCCATCCCCCTTCCCCCCAACCCACCCCGCCCTCACCGCATCTGCCCGCTTCCCATTCCGCAACCCCGGAACTCTGAAAACCGTCCACTCAACCTCCCCTCCCCGATCGCCCCTCGGCTTCGCAGAAACAAGAGGTCCATCCGCCGTAACATTCCCAATCCCCACAACCTCTCTATACGCATCTCCAAAAAGCCAATAAACAAATTGCACGCCAAACCACCATTTAATCGAAAATTTATCCTCTTGTACTTTGAAAGAAGGCGTACTCAGAATCAGAACCCTTTCGATTTGACAGGTTTCTTCGCTGAGGATTAAAGGGTATAAAATCTGTTTATACCAATCTGTAATTGGAGTTCCGGCTGTTGAGGGAACTCCGGGACCGGCGAAGGATACGAGAGTTTTGGCGCCGGTGGATAGGGCTTGTTTGAGAGCGGGGGTATCGTTGGAGGAGAATTCGCCTTTGATGATGTGGACTTTGGGGCTGGCGTCTGGAGAGAGGGCGAGGGATTGAATGTGTTGAGGGAGTTTGGAGGGGTTGCGGGCGTAAATTGTTAGGTCATGTTGGCCGGATTGGAGGGCTGTTTCGAGGAAGGTGACGCCGCAGGGGCCTGTGGTGTGATGGTCAGAGGGGTTTTGTTATTGATTTGTTGATGGGGGAGTATGTTTAATGATGATGAGAACGGACCTGTGGCGCCTATGACGAGGAAATGCATTATTGATTGTTGATTGTTGGCGGTGCAGGCAGGTGCGATGCTAGTTCTTATGTGACGGATGGGTTCGATTTCCAATTCATTGAGACTTGTTGCTTGTCGCTTCGATTGATGGTATGTCCGGACGCTGACATACTACGGATGCGGAAGGTGATTCAAGGTTCGGTGTTCCGCGTCGTCTTTTGCTTGGCATCGCGATATCGCCGAACGCTGCTTCCTTGGTCATACCATTGGGAATGATGCGCGCGACGCTGGAGCTGCGATTGCAGGATGACTTGTGCCACTGGAGTATTGATGAAGCTCGTGCTGAATCGGAGTCCTTCAGTGTCCGCTACTTAAGAAAACAAAATACGATCTTGCGTGCTCTCAAATCTTGTGGAGGGTACGAGACATCCATGGATGTTGCGTCCACCTACAGCCGAAACCGAGCATAACTTGCATAATGATAGTATCGATGTGGAATGCAAGTCATCCGATGTCTTCGCAGTCTGCGTCTCTATCTCCTGCGACTAGCAGTAAGTACGTTGCTATTTCTGGTCATGGTATACTCCCTACCTATCAAGTGCTCCACGAAAGAAAGAGCTGGAACTAGCAACATAAGAATCGCTAGGTACTGTCCGAAAGACCACATAGGAGCTTCCTGCTTCTTCAGCATGTCACATGCCTTTTGCCCGTAGACAAGGTACAACACTGTCGCGGTCATGGCCACGGCGATAGCGGTTCCCACAACGATGGAAACATATGCACCGATTTCGACCAGTCGTGCGTATAATGCAGTGATGTCGTCTTTGGGGCGCCAGATACATACAACTATGTTGGCGGCTATGCAAATCCAGAGGGCAGCCCCGCAGACTAACAAAACGATGCGAATTGTCCAGAACGGGCAGTCGTCTTTCGCGACACGCCGCCGGAGAAAGTAGATCGTAAAGGCCAGGTGCTCGCCAAGAAATAAGACGCAGCGTGGGAAAAGAGGCCGAATCCTGGCTTTGTTTGTCTTGACGAGTGCAGCTCGTGGGGCTACGTGGCTAGACGTTGCCAACAGGGTTAGAGCGAATGCGAGCAGAGCGTGCGGATCATTATTGGAGTCGCTGTAGATCACCAGGGTGCTAATGAGCAGTGCTAGACTGGTGATAAGTTGTGTCAAGCCCAAATTGCTGATGGCGTCTTGCACGGCTCTGTGTAGGCGATCCAACCGTCGAGACCGGATGGAGTGTTTTGCAAGCATGGCCGCCATTGAAGAGCATGTCAATTCGGTGTCGGGCATGGGGGTTCCAGGATTGTTGCTGAAGATGCGATACCAAGACAGTGTCGTGGCAACGAAGGCCGAGATGAGGAACGACCATACAACCTGAAGATTCCAGTCAGATCCGATCTGCGGTGCCATGAAGTGCACTCACGCCGGGTCCTGCAATATCGGCATTCGGTATACAATCAGCTGGGGCGGCCGGGTCTGGCGTATGCCAGGACGCCTGTATCATCTTTTCACAAGAGTTTTGGATGTCGTGTAAGAGAGCCGTGGGTGAAGATCTCGTCATCTGTGAATATGAATTTCAGCATCGTGGAGAAAGAAGGCATACGAGTTATAACATGTCCACCGAGACCTCCTGAGCGTTTCCTTCTCATTGCAACAACAAAGGCCGCTGGCGAGCATTGCATAGCCTTGCCCAAGCAACAACATTAGCAGCGGAAGATGCTGTGTTCTGGAGTTGGTGGTGCTGACATGCATCAGCGCATATTCTCCATTTGTGAGCAAGACAGGGATCCGATGGGCAAGCAACAGCGAGCGTCGCTGAATCGGGACTGCTCGCAACGTTGAAGCGAGAGGCAACAATGTGCCGGCAAGGCGTCTGAGTCGAAGTGATCGCAAAGCCAAGGAGCAGTCGGGCACATGCAAGTGAAAGAGAGCGAGAGGCTTAGACGGCTGGTACTTCACAGGCGGCGGCGAAGCGCGTGTGCAGGATGCGCAAATCAGCCGCACCTGCGTCGCGTACTAAGCCTGGCGACATTGGCGCTCGAGGAAACGTACAACGAATGCTGTAGGGGAGCAGCGACGTGCGTGTTCGTCGCTTGTTGTCTGCTGAACGCGGCGACAGCAGTATCTGCAGCAATCGATGGGTGGTGTGTCCATAGCGATCGTTAGGTGACGAGCAGGAGGCGAGCCTTGTGATACGACCTCGAGCATCCCGTGGTCCTTTCGCTTGCGTGTTCGCGCGCAGGTCGGCTACCCATCTTCTGCCGCAAGTGGTGTGCGGATTGCATTGTCGTTGGGTAAGTGAAGCGTGAGACACGAAACGACTTGTCTCAGTGCCAAGGCCTCCGTGAGCTCCCAAGTCGCGCGCGTGTTTCTCCGTCAACATTGTTGGATCCCGACCGAACAACATCACCAATCCGCCCAGGGCATCAACACTGCCGCCATGGCCCTCTCCAACTCCACCCAGGGCGCGCCAGCCTACTTCCAGGCGCTGCTCGATCGCGGGCAAAAACGACCCAACAACAACGACGAACCGCAACTTCAACTCGGCCTGGGAGACATTGCGCGCAAGGTCAGGAATTTAGGGAAGGGCTTCACTGATGCGAAAGCGCATTACTTGCTCTCCGCTTCAGGCGTCAACACCAGCGAGGCTCTGCGCGACCTCGAGGAGCTCTCTGGCTCAAGAGCAGCGCCGATCCAACCTTCTGATCCAGCCGCGAATGGCGTGAAGGAAGTGCTTGCCCAACGTTACCAGAATGATTTCCAAAAGATGGTGGATAGTCATATTCAGCGCGCGCACGAGGACTTCGACAAGATGATCGAGGAGAGGTTACATGGTGTTGACTGGGATGCACATCGCCAGCGCATCTACGAGCACTTTGGCCTCAAGAAGCCACAGAATTTGGACAATAGCAGCGTAAATCAAGTACAAGAGAATGGTCAAAGCGGCTTTGGCCGTTCCTCTCGCCGCGGAAGGACAACAACGAGCAAATATGGAATGTCGAGAATGAACAGATCAGTCATTGGCTCAGTAGCGCAGCGGGGACTTCGTGGCAGCACATTTGGAGATATCGCGGAAAGAGGATCGGACAGCATTCGGCCCGCGCCTGAAGACAACCTGCTGCGCAAAAAGCAAGAGAAGTACTCCGACAAAGTCAAGGATCTCAATGTCGCAAGACTGCAAGAGAAGAATTATGCTATCTTCACCCGATTCGCTGAGGCTGAGGGCGAGCCTACCAATGAGGACAACTCCATGCTGGTCAACGCGTACAAAGCACTGGTGGAGATCACTGGCGAGGACGAGAAGGCACAAGCATTAAGCGATCCTGGAGCTATAAAGGAGCGCAGCTTTGCCAAAGCGTATCTGGATGAGACTGGAAGCTCGGCCGAGAATATGGCTATACGCAGCCGCATTCTCAATGGCTCACGGAAGTACTTGGAGAAGCTTTTCCATGCTCAGCTCGAAGCAGTGGTCGCAAAGAATCCCCGAGAGGCGAAGATCGGAGGAACACCAGATCCTCTGTCCAAAGTCAAGGGCTTCGTACGTGTTCGTGCTGCTCGCAAGGAACTGGGCCCGGATCCCGAGCTTCTGCAAGAGATCAACGAGGAACAGTGCTGGGCCATCATTTTCTACCTGTTGCGAAGTGGCCTGTATACTGATGCGTTGGAATACGTAAATGCCAACGGGGCGGCATTTCGACAGATTGACCGACAGTTCCCGCGATATATTCGAGCTTTCGTTGAAAGCGAGGATCACAGACTTCCCCCGGATCTCCAAACCAGCATCCACAACGAGTACAGTCAGCGACAACGTCTGGCACCCGAGGATTCGATCGATCCATACCGAATGATGTGTTACAAGGTCATCGGACGCTGCGAGCTGACCCGCCGAAGCCTGGATAACATTACCAATGACATGATGGATTGGCTGTGGCTACAGTTCGCTCTGGCACGAGAGTACAATCGCGTTGAGGAGCTTGCACACGAGGCATTTGGTCTGCTCGAAGTACAGACTTCAATCAAGGACATTGGCGAGAGGTACTTTGGCGCTGGTAGTGACATCGCCAATGCACCAACAACCTTTTTCTTCATGCAAAACTTGGCTGGCCTCTTTGAGAAGGCGGTTGCAGATCTGTATGCGCACAACTACCTTTCTGCTGTGCACTTTGCCATCGGCTTGGACTATTACGGAATGCTCCGTGTCAGCGACATCAGCAATAGCGACGATCTCCTGAGCTACACCACAAGACAAGAACCACAGATTGCTTTTGGCAGCATGATTGGTCTCTACACACGCGACTTCCGAACTGCGAATGCGACAGCTGCCGTGGACTACATCTCGCTCATCTGCTTGAATGCCGATCTCACTGGCGATCTTGGGAAAGCCCAGAAGGATCTCTGCTATCAGGCGCTGACTGAGGTCGTGCTTGAAACTCGAGAGTTTGCGCAATTGTTGGGTGATATCCGCGCCGACGGCCAACGGATCAAGGGTGCCATCGAGCAGCGACTACCGCTGATCAAGCTGAACAACGATCGCGAGTTCTTAAAGCACATCACGCTGGTCGCAGCGCGCACAGCCGAGGAACAGGGTCGCACCACGGATGCAGCACTGCTCTATCATCTCTCAGAAGACTACAACAAAGTCATCTCAGTCGTCAACGATGCGCTTTCTCTTGCACTGACAACCGAACTCGGCGATACACCAGCACGTCTCATGCCGCTCAAGCCGCGCGACGTCAACACTCACAACAACCAGGATCCAGCTCAGATGCAAGCCAGTCTCAGCTTGACTTCCATCGATAATCCGATCCAGCTTGCCGAGGATATCAGGACACTCTATAACAGCGACGCGATGTACCTCAATAAGATCGACAGAAAGTACCGCGATGCAATCGACGTTCTCCTTCAGCTTGCCAGAGCGCGCAAAGAGCTCGAAGCAGGGCACTGGGCGCAGGTCATCGATGTGAGTACCTACCATCTCGTTAACATATTTTCAGTACAGACAAAGACTAACACTTTTCGCCATGCAGGCCGTCTCAGCAGCCGACGTCATTCCCACCGATACAAACGGCGACGTGTCGGCCATCCGAAGCAAATCACAGTCATTCGAACTCATGCCCACGTCTGTCAGTCGCACCATTGGCCACGTCATGGTCTGGACGGTCATCTCTTGCAGTAATGAAGCCGAGAAAATACGAAGTCAAGAATACGAAACGGCAGCACGCAAAGAACTTGTCGCGAATTGTGTACAAAAAGCCAAGGATGTTATGGTCTTTGCTGGTTTGATCAGATACAAGCTGCCTGGGAGAGTATGGGAAACGCTGGCGAGGGCGGGCCAGGACCTGGGTGTGTACTAGATGGAGGTAGTCAGAGCCTGCTGGGAAAAGAAATGATGACAATGGGGTCTCGGTCAGCTTTGCTAGAAGGAATTGACAGGATATCGCATGACACAGCCTTGGGCGACCTTCTGAACGCCTTCTTGCTCGGGTTTACCGATTGTTCAGTAATGGATCAACATGCACGTTTCGCCCGCGAGCTTGCATCTCCGTCTTCTCATTCTCCCCACTGCGCATGGAATTAGCCCTGTGATCGGTTCCAGTATGTATGTATGACTAACGAAGTTACTCGCGAGCACACGCAAGGCACAGCCCCGCAGCAACGCGAAACAGGCAGCCATATCGTCGCACAGATCGAGATACAAACATTACACAAGATCGATCTTGTTTGTTGCACAACTTCTGATTCTCGGGAAGCCAGATGACAATGGCTGTAGTCTCCTATGATGTTTTCTAGACGGCAAGAATGCAAAGAAGCGTGTGAGAGGCAAGTTTGCAAATGGATTGCGTTTGTAGCAAAACTTGGCGACAAACACAGATTCACACATATAGGGACAAATTGTAGCATTGCTGTGTTATTCGGATCAGATTGAGCCTAGAGTTGCATTCGTTTACTCGCGCCAACTTCCGGGTTCTCAGTCGGAGATACAACACAGAAAACAGTACAATCATATTCAATACATTCGAAAAGAAAAGCAGAGGTCGTGAAAATTGCCCAGCAACATGGCTGTTCCCTGGCACAACGCTCCCTTTACGGAAGACTATCAAAAGAATGCTTTCAACGGCTTTCCTTTCCTCCCAGAATATGGCCATTCTCGCACCGCACCCGCCGAAGAGCCTTTCATCATTCACCGTTCTCACGGTGTTTCCGGACGAGGCTGGTACCAAGGCGGTCGCAAACTCAACAACCTCCGCTCAAAGAAGTACTGGGTACGTCCTGTCGATGGCGCCCGTCACGGTACGCTCGGCCGCCTGAAAGATGCTCTTACCGGCGAAGGGCCGGACGTGTATGTCGTTGCCAACGCAGATAAGCGCACGTTCCATCGCGATCGTCCCAGCCGCATGCATTGGTCCGGCTGGGATAAGACTGGTCTCAAATGGGCTGGTGCCAATGGTGATGCAAACTGGACTGCTCCTGCGCACGATATGGACTGGTATCCGCGGACAACGTACCATGTGCCCTGGGCGAGGAGGGATGGTAGGGATCAAGTCTACAATTTCCGGACAAGAGAGTATGATCACCTGACAGGGGCGAATCGGTGGAATTTCTGGAGTGATGCGCACTATCCGATGGGCAAGAGAGGAAGACATGGGATTCCGACGACTTGGAGGATGTGGAATGGGAAGTGGGCTTCGACGGTTGATCCAAGTGCGGGGAATTGGCCAGGTGGTCGGCCGCTGAATTGAGGTTGTTGTTCGGCCTTCTGCAAGATTTGAGGAATGTTGGATTTTCGGCTCAATTCACCTGGAAGTTCCGCCTTTCAGCGGGGCGAGCTTGCTGTGGAGCCATTCATGCGCCGTGCAAAAGTGCGCGAACGAGTGTCTCTCTGCTCAGCCCATCTCGGTGTCTTGAGTCCAGCCGTAGCGCGGAACAGTACCCGCTTTGCTCAGGTCACTATCCTTTTCCAGGCTTTGTTGAGATCTGTTGAGTATTGATTGCGTTTGCTCGGATGACCAGTTGTTGCGGAGTGCTTGTACGTCGTCCACAGATCGCACTGCTGCCGACTTGATTTGAACAAATAATTGCGCTTTGTCCTTGGCTGGCTTTGCCATGGGCCCAACAATAGAAGGAATAGTGCGTCTCATGTCATCAATCTGTGAAACGTGAGCAAGCAGTAAACAATAGTACAGTTGCGGGCGCGACTGACCTGTTCCTGAAGACGTTCAAGATGCGCCAAGGCTCCGGAATATTGTTTGGCGTCCCAGGCCGGCTGAGTTCCTTGAGCTGTATCTGCTTGCATCTCTGGCATTGTTGACCGTACAGTTGGAAATACACGTGTTGGAAGCAGGAAGGACAAGAAGACTGAGTTGAGGTCACGTCGTCCACCGGCATGCACGCGCTCGAAGAAGCGGACATCGGTCCGGCCCGAAGCTAACCCTTGGCTAGCCTAGCGCCACATCTAGACAAGTCTCATGTGAAAGAGCAAACGTCAACTGTGCTGCCTTCCAATTTGACTGACTAAGACAATACTCCAACTCGACACAATTCTGTGTACACTCCAAAATTCTCCCTCAAGACGTATTCTACTGTCTCGAGTGAGCAAAATGTCGGATAGCATATTGGACAAGCTCAATCAGAGCATTAGTGCCACAGCAAACGATCCGGCAGTGCCCCTCGAACAGCGAACTTTCGAAGAAGCAGAACTGGTACTGGCATCGACATTATCCGAAAACGAAAATTTACAGCTCGTTTCATCACTATCGTCGCTTCTGCCAACGCTCCAACAAGATCCCACGCCAGCCGTCAATCTACTATTGCGACTGCTCGACAAGTACAGCTATGGAGACATCCTTCAGCTTGGCAGTATCCCCTTCAAGGAAGGTCTGGCAGTCGGGGACCATATGGCCTCGTACAATTTGCTCATCATATCGATCCTCAAGAAGGCTACTTCGAACGCTGCCGACACAGCATCGGTCGCGGGCATGCTCGACACCGTCATGGCTTTAGTGCAACTCTGGCTATGCACACGAATCACTGGAGTGGCGACCGCTGCACAGCAGCTGCTTCTCGATCTTCTGCGGATCGACCAAGAGGTCCAAACGGGACCTGATACGCATGTTCCCACTGGCGGCCAGGGTCTGATGTGGAGACGGCTCTTTGGCGATCAGGATATCTACAGAGTGTACTTTGAAGCTTGCTCATGTCTGACTCCGGGCAATCACGGATTTGGGTTGTCCAAAAATCATCGCACAGAAGCTGCTGGTCGGCTGATGGAGTGGCTGTCCGAAGTCGCCAAGATGGACTGGAGTGTAGTCTCACGCAGTCATCATCCAGACATTGAGCGAGAATACAAATCTGAAGGGGGTTTGATCGGTTTCGCGACATCACATATGGTCGAAAAAGACGACATTCTTTTGTACCGAAATCTGATCGATTTCTACTCGGCGATTCTTGCGGCGACCAAGCCGGAGGCAGCAGAACTTGGAAGCAGCAGTACAGACTCTGCCAGTCTACACTACCTGATCGCTTCAGGTGTGCACGCAAGTACGATCGCAATCTACCTACAAACATCTGGAAGACCCGTTGACCCGCTCGAGAGCACCTTTCTCTACGGACCCGCTGCCAATTACGTGGCGACATATGCGTCACTGTATTCGGAGCATTTCCTGGCTAGCCAGCTTGCAGAACAAGTCAAAGCTCGCTTACGGGTCACATTGGATCAGTCACCATCCAGATGGGCACATGCAGAGTCTCCAAAGCACGATCTTCACCTACTTGCTAGTCTTCCGCGCAGTGCCCTGCTCTCGACAGGTAACTGGCAATCCAGTCCACTTTCGTTGCTACCGTCGAAAGCAACAAATCCAGACGTGCTCAATACTCTTGCCACCGTTTTTCGAGGGCCTGACAGAGACATCACATTCAAGTTGGGGTCGTCCAGCGGGTCTGCAGCGCCATCAGCTAGGTCATTGGAAGAAGCCGCCGAAGCCAGGGCTCTATATTTCCATTACGTGGCCAACAACCCTCGCCTATGGCAAGATATCGCAATACATGCCGACACGGTTGCGCTTAAGGATCTTGCGCTGTCAGCAATCAACGTCTTAAGTGCGTTAAGTACAGCACATTGGTCCGTCACACCGGAGATCTCCATGCCAGATAATATCGCCACTCCAGAGTCTGGACACCTCGCATTAGTTGCACAGCCTGCCTTGGAGTATGCATGGCCCTATCTGCTTAGACCATCCCGCAGCTTTGCAAACCTCGTGGGCGGAAGAGGAGACGCAGAAAGCTCTGCCTATCAAGTTGCTGAAGCGAAACACGACGCACTGCGCAGCCTTGAGCTCCGCTTCAAGATGCAGGTGGAGCAGACGCCTGGTGAAGGCTACGAGGACATACTGGCGCAGCTATCTAAGCGTGTCGCTGACGGTCCTTTGGACCGCGAAGGAGAGATCGGAGGCCGCATCGGCACGCTTGAATTGTAGCATCATTTGCTCCGCCAGACTAGACTTGAGGGTCGTTTTGGTGGACCTGAAAAGTGGGCTCGATTGGTCCTCGAGAAGTCGGTCAACACTGTGATTCGCTTGCAGGAGCCCCTACCCAGAGTGCGCTTCTCACTGTTCGTTGAAGTCGGGCGCAGGACAATAGTTGACCTTGAACACAGAGAGAACAGCTCAGATGAGGTGTACTTCAATTATGGTCCCGACTGAAGAGTTGCAAAGCGATTGAGTAGGACTCCAAAAGCATCATTATTGGGGGGCACAGCACAATTGCATGCATTAATGATTGTACATTGATTTCATTCCGTCTGATCACGTGGCTTCAAGAGCTTCCCGCTATACAGCTCTCTGATTGGGAGCGGCAACCTTCCTTTTGACCGCTACCACCAAGTACAATACTCGCGAACTCACCACACATCACAGCAGTTTCAAACGTCAAGCAGCAATGACAAACGGCCAAAGCCGACTATTCAAGCTCCCCGCTGAACTTCGCGAGCAAATCTACATCAATTGTCTCGCATGCACGGAACAACACGCCTATTGCTACTGGAAAGACGGCGTCCTCATAACGCTCGTAGACGGTAGAATATACAAGATCTGCACCCACACACCACATAATCTTGGAGTCTCCCTCAAATGCGGTGCTCAAGCTCTCACATTACTCCGAACATGCAAAACCACCAACAATGAAGCTTCTCCCATATTCCACAATTCACTCGAACTGAGATTACACATTGACGGACGGTACAAATCGCCCACAGAAATCAAAGGTCGAGATTTGGGACCTGTCGAAGATCTTAAGTTCATGCGATTTGCTAGGGTTTGGGATATTACTGTGCGATTGAGTACTGTAGAGGATTTGGAGAGATTGATTGCTCAGATTGAGGATTTGAGAGATTTGTTGAAGGAGAATAAGAAAATTTTCTGGAGGAGTATTTCGGTGCAGATTTCGAGGTATTCGGAGTGTCCTGAACCTGGGAACGAGGTGCTTAAAGCTGTGAGCGCGATGACTGGGGTAAAGGAACTGGAGGAGATTCCAGATCCGTGGAGGGAGGGAACGACTGTATTTGATTACCAGGCTTCGACGAAGGCATGATGATGAATGCTTCGCTGCACTGCCAATGTGAAGATAAGAAGTAGAGTGCGTCTGATTCGGATACAGTCACTGTATACAGCATGCATCTAACATCTTCAAGCATGGGTGCTCGAGTTTGTCTTCAGCTGGAATACCACAACGCTGGCGCTCTCCACTTCGGTTGCATCCTCACCGATGATCAAGCTTCCATCCACTTCTGGCAAGCTTTGTGTCTCCCATCCATAGTTGAACGCCCAGAGAAGATCTCCTCTCCGGAGAAACCTCAGCGTCTCACCAAGGTCGTTCTCCTTGTCCGCCACACGGCCTGTCAGGTCTTTCATTCCGGCTGCCTTCGCTACATCTCCCAGATAGTCTACCAGGAAGTTGGTTGTCGGGTTGAAGCCGAGATAGTGCAGGTTATCCTTTGAGCAAGCTGCCGGCTTGCCTGGTCGATGGCGAGAAGTGTATGTGACAGTAGTCTCACTGGTCGCGTTGTCCCGGCTGCAGGCAACCCACTCCTCCCAGAAAGAGACGTTGTAATCCTGGCCAGCGTACGAGACTCCACTTCCAGCGTACGCAGGAGGGGTTTCGATACGGGTGACACGTAAGGGTAGACGTGAGCGCAAAGTGCTGCTGCCAGCTGGGTTGAGACCAGGAACATATGCAAAGTCGGGAGTCGTGCTGCCTGTGCGCGGGCCAACAACGACGGGGCCAGAGAATGTGGCAAGAGCCTCGTCGAAAGCTTCGGACACGATCGGCAAGCTGGGCACGATTACGGCTTTGTATCCTTCGAGACTCTGCTCCGGAGAGATGATGTCGATGCTTAGGCCGAGGCGGCGAAGAGCAGAGTAGAAGGTATAGAACAGCGTCGTATATGTGAGCGCAGCATCTGTGTAACCGGCATCTTTGACGGACCACGAGCCGCTGTAAGGCTCAATGCTCCAAACCCAGTGGCTCGCATAATCGAATACCAGTGCGATGTCAGCTTGAGGTTCCGGAGCAACAGCGCGGTCTCGGAGCTCCGGTAGGTCATTGTCAGCAAACTCTTGCGACTCAATGTAACCTTGATCCTCAGTGTTATCGGAGACGAAGAGTCCAGAGAGTGTCTGCTCTTGGGCATAGGGCACTTGACGCCAGCGGAAGTAATTGACGAGGTCACCGGATGCTGCGAATGTCTCGTGCGTCCAGAGACGTACCATGCCTTCCAGTGGAGAGACACGATATGTGTTCCAATTCAGCACACCAGGCTGCATTTCCATTACTCCAAACGGGCCATGGTTCTTTTCATAAGCTTCTCCCGAGACACCTCGATACAACGCGTGGTGGAGACTTTGTAGGTCCGGCAGGCCAGTGCGGAGATAGTCGGCTAGCTCTTGATCAGAGAGCGGCGCGGCACCTGTGCCAGCAAGTGGGTAAGCGTCGAACGTCGACATGTCGAGACCGACCTCGCGGTTGAATTTATGATGATCGAAATCGGTGAAGAAGACCATGAAGTTGTGTGTTACACCATGGGTCGGAGCGAGTTCCCTGATGATATCGGTCTGCTCCTTCGCGAATTCGATCACCATATCCGACGAAAAGGTATACCAATCGAGAGTATGGGCTTCATTGTTCGTGTAAACTTCCAAAAATGGTGGCTCCACTGCTTCGAAAGATTCGTATTGCGAAGACCAGAACACACGCCCTTGCCGGTCGTTCATATTCTCGATAGTGCCATATTTCTCTTTCAGCCACGAGCGAAAGCGAGTCTTTGCGTCTTGATCATAGCTCCTCACTGTATCGTGGCATCCAAACTCGTTGTCAAGCTGCCATCCTATCACGCTTGAATGGTTTCCGTAACGTTCTGCAAGCTTGCGTGTGATCTTCTGACTCTGGTCGCGATAATCGAAAGATGAAAAGCTGTAGTGTCTTCGAGATCCGAACAAGAGGGTTGTATTCGTACGATCAACAAAGTCGACGTTGTACTTTTCCGTCAGCCAGTTGGGTGGAGCCGCAGTAGGAGTGCCTACGATGGCTTTGAGGTTGTGTTTGGCAATTAGCTCGAGAGTCTTGTCCAGCAGTGTAAAGTTGTATTCGCCTTCCTTAGGTTCCAGAATCGACCAGTCGAACTCATTGACCCGAACGTAAGAGATGTTGCTCTGTGCCATACGAGCCAGATCCCCATCCCACATCCACTCCGGCCATTGTGAGGGATAGTAGTCCACAGCTAGATGGATACCTTCTGGCCAGTGGCTTTGTTGGAGAAGGCCAGTGTGGTTAGACTTGATCCGAGAGTCCGCATTGCTGCGCTGCACTGTTAGAGAAGCAGTGCAGTGCGCCACAAGGCCACTTATGGCGAAGATGTGGGAATACATCTCTATGATGTGGAACTAAGAGTCTAGAAGCACTGCAAGGCTTTTGATATATACATACCGGGTACTCTGCCCACATTGACTCCACACACGATGTTACGCTGCATGCACTGGACTTTTACTTGCCTTGTGTTACTGCCGCTTATTCCCTCGGGTCCTCGGTGGCATTGCCGCCGCAATGTGGAGAGCAAGATTCATGGAGCTGGGTGATCATAGGAAATTCTTCGGCCTGCGAATATAGGCTGTATGAATGAGGGGCCCCTCATCTACAAGCGTCAGGCATCCATTTATTGTACGAGAGAGAAAGCGTGAAGATGGGCCCTTCTCCAGTATTCACTGCTGATCTCATGATGTCGGATGTGCTTGTGCATTGCGTAATTTCCCTCAGAGGCAAGCCGGTGGTCTGACGCATAAATTGCAGGTCCGACGCCTCGAAAAGCTGCGTACAGAATTGAAGAATACGACAGCGGTCGGAGAGCAGCTCCGCAATGCTGACTAAGCCCAGTTGCCAGGACAACCTGCTGTAACAGTAGATTCTCACCGCCGGTATTGCTTTGCCTCATGGTGATGGACCTGTAGCCTGTCATGGCTGGGATTGAGCTCACCATATCAACCGCACGCCTGAGCTGACCCCTAAATCCCGCTCGACCCTCATCCTGTTGTCGTTCTGTTCTCATTTGAAGCCACTTTGAGGCTGTTCAAGATCGCATCTGCTTCTCGCCATCCACTGATGAGAGCGCCGTGCACAGTGGCGAAGTGATCCACATCAGTATGCTCTCCAGCAAAGCGCACGATTCCGCCATTTGGACTTGACAACGGCTCCTGGAAAGCAACACGATGTCTGAACTCTGACAAGTCTTTGATCATGTGGCTATAACTTCCTCTTGAGTACTTGTCCGAAGCCCATTGAGTGACGTGCACTGCACTGGGGCGAGGAGGCTCTCGTCCGAGCCACTGAGTAAAAGTTCGATGTACGATGCCGCTGGCCTGGTCGTCCGACATTGCCTCTATCTGGACTGCGTTGGAGCATGCCACGAAACAACTCAGCGCCGGCTTATCTGTCAAGTCCTGTAGGTTCATGATGGAAAGCAGTCGTGGGCCAGCTGCTGTCGTACCATCCGTGTTGAGTTGTATTCCTGGTAATTCTGCGGTAAAGCCCATGAAGACGTCTGGAGAGGTTTTATCGAGTTCTTGGATGCCACCATCTCCGCTAGAATCTGATCCTGGAGCATTGTTGATCATTCCTTTTTTCCACAATGTTATCCAGGGCTTTTTGACCCACCATGGGTCCTGGTATACAAGTAGTATCTTATCCAATGTGCCAAAGCCGAGCTTCTGCACTGACTCTTGTTTGTCAGCAGGCAGAGCTGGCGAGAATAGAGAGCTGCTTGTGACCTTGCCCACGTTCTCCACGTCGTGCTGTAGCACGCCTAGAGGAAGAGTGCAAACGACCTGATCTGCAGTATAGGTTCCTTGATTCGTCTCGACACGCACTGGCCGTGAAGTCCAATCGATTCGCTCCACTTCCACTCCCAACTCAACGATGCCGGCCGCCACCAGATCTTTGCCAACCTCCTCGACGATCTGGGTGTAGCCATCTTGCAAAAATACATGCTCGCCTTCGAAGTCATCGATTGCAAACTCAAGCAGTCCTAGTCCAGCCTCACCTTTTTCCTGCTCTGCAGATTGCGCTGCAAGCGGAGCGGCTTCCACGACTTCCACGAACTGAGGCATTGATCCGAGAGTCGGGCGATACTGCTCTGGAATATCGCTGAGTGTTCTGAGGAAATCCGTGTTTTGCTTTATGCTCTTCAACGCGGTGGTCTTTTTTGCAGAATCAGGAGCTATGGAGACTGCAGTTTCATGCAGTGACTCGAACATGTCCCAAAATGCGCCCATGATTGTTCCTGCCGTACTCGCTGGTATTACGAGATCAGAGGCCTGGACCTGATTAGAATTGATAGGGTCACTATCGCGTTCCATATTCTGACTTTTCGCGTTTGTAGGCACTGAAAATGCAACTGTGCCACTGAGCGATTTGTATCGTTTATGGGGTAAAATCGACATTAGAGGATTTGGCTTTGACTTCGTCCCCACACCATGAATCCAGTTCGCGCCAGTATCAAGGCGATGGCCGTTGACATGAACAGATTCGATGCGTCCGCCAATGCGATCTCTTGCCTCTAGGACCAGAAGTCGGCCTTGTTCTTGAAAATGTCGATGCTCGTGAAGGCGTGATGCACAGGCCAGTCCGGACATGCCGGCACCTATGACAAGAACATCGTGGTGGCGGCTTTTGCTATGAGCAGCATTGGCAGCCATTCTTGTCATGCTCTGTTGCATCGATTGTAAGATAGCTTCGACGATGAGGAGGATGGCAAGATGTGGTGTACCGGGTGTGTGGCAATTATGTTTCTTTCAGATTCTCGATTCGGTGCGCAAACCGGGCGCTCAAATGCTTTCTGGATGACATGTCGATGAGATGATGCTGCGAATGGATACTCCGAGTCCATGTTGCCATAGCGGTTTTGGTTCGAAGGATGGTGATCGTGATTGGTCATTGTCACCGGACTTCTTTCCGTGAGCACTGTTTCGATGACGACGTCTTGTCTGGCTTGCTCCTCCTTTCACAACTTGTCAGCAGCACATACAACCACCATACATTTCGGTCCAACGAGATACACATGCTCAATAGAATCAAAAGAGCCATGTCTTCATCTACAAACACGAGCGGGAAACTGAATCCGCGAAACTTTCCTCGTCCACCACTCTGCGAGCGAACTCCACGCCATCTCGAAGTGAAGTGGAATGGCCAAACCATCGCAGATACCAAAGAAGGATATTGGGTCTTGGAGACTTACCATCCGCCCACATACTACCTCCCACCTTCATCGCTCAAAGTTCCGCTGAGCAAGAACAGTCGCAATTCGTACTGCGAATGGAAGGGAGTCGCTTCATACTACGACCTCGCTAACCCAGGTGATCCAAACGATGTAGCCAAGTCTAGAATCTGGTCCTATGACAATCCGACGGGAGGTTTCAAGGAGATCAAGGATTATTTGAGCTTTTATGCGGGGCCGTGGGATTGCTATGTCGATGGCGAGAGGGTGATTCCGCAACCGGGCGACTTCTATGGCGGGTGGACGACGAGTGACATCGATACGACTCATGTCAAGGGTGCGCCAGGCACGAGGCATTGGTGAAGTGTGAGAGCTTTTGCAAGTGAAGGCAAACAAGTAGCTACCGTAACTGCTATTTTGGAATGTGAAGCTAACAGCTGCCATTTATCATGCATAAAATGTTTGCTTTGAGCTCGCACGTGCAGCTAAACGAACATCGACTAACCCACGCTCTTCTTACTCTTGTGACTTGCTCGACATCCATCACGCAGCAACATTGCCACCAGCGAGCTACCTCGACCACATCGGCGGCAACATAACAACTTCAGCTTCATCTTCTGACGAGGTTGAAGCTCAACCTCGCGGCAAGAGATGTCCCAGAACATGCGCAAGGTCAAGGGACAACGCATCCGCCCACGCAAGCCGCGCAAGAAAGCCCTTCAGCCGCCCGATGCCCCAGCACAGATTCCGAACGACTGCCTGTTCATGAAGCTGCCTCCGGAGCTGCGCAACGTTATCTACGAGCTCATCATCGAAGATTACCACAGAGACCAGGTGCGAGACAGAGACTCCTACGTCAATTACACCAACCGCATTTCGATCAATGGCCGCATAATTGCGACTGGTACTAGGAAAGGCCTCTCCTTTGGTGAAGACACAATACCAGTGGGCTTGAAGAATTGGCCGGAACCTGACCTGCTCCTCATGTCGAAACAAGTTCGGCTGGAAGCCCGCCCACTGTATTATAGCCTCGCCAAGTTCCAAGTCTTTACGTACGCACGTAATCTTGCTGCACTTTTTGAGCTGCTCAACAGCATTACCGAAAGCTTGGAGCCGATTCCTGGAGCAAGGTGGCCTATCAAACACGTCGAAATCTATATCATCAAAGCAAAGTGGAGCGATTTTCGCCACTTGCTTTCGCTGGCCCAAATTACCATGAAATATCCCGTTGAAGTGAATCGCGTGTACAATACGTTCGGCCACGTCATCGAAAAAGCGCAAGAGCTGGGAATGCGTGGGCACCAGGAAGGATGGACGGAGGAATGGCTTGCGATTGAATTTGAGGAGTGGGTCGCACGGATGCAGAACGATAGTCGGTGGTCTATTGCCATTCATGGAAATCATATCAACAAATGCTGGTCGAGGATGCCAAAGGACTTGGAGCTTCCTGGACACAACTATAGTCTCAAAGATGAGAGAGAAGACGACAGCAGCTTCAGAGGCAGCAGCCGCAACGTGCCGCCAAGCGATCGAAAGCTTCGTTCGAGGTCCTAGGTGCGAGCTCAGCACACAATGCATCTCCCACGACGACGATGAGCATACTTCTTATGCTTTGGATAAACATGCACTGGCCGGACAAGGAGCAATACTGGCTGCATCGACAATCAACAACTCTTAATGATCGGCTGAACGCAGCCTGGTCCTTGATGGTAGTCAGCGTAAGGGAGGCCGGGATATACGGAACTTGCACGTTGCACAAGCAGGGCAGAGTCGGACCTTCACAGCGTTGATTGGTAGGAAGATGACGAATGAACGCAGTAGGCTGTCGAGTGCCAGCGGCGGTCTGCCACCAAAGTCGAGTTACATCGCCGTCAGAGTGCTGCGAGACGCCAGTATAAAAGAACTATCAAATCAGCTTCCGCTCTGCTGTTCGTCTTCGCTGGACGCATGGCACTTTACGTCTCTGGGCCGATCGTGATGAAGTCTCAGTCTATCCGCGGATCATGCGCGAGCGCATGTATCTCATCAATCCTGGTGAACATTTCAGCACAATATGCTTAATGAAATCGTCTCGAGATGACGAGCCCGTGAGTCGCAGTCGCGTTAATTGTTGTCTATAATAAAGTGCAAATACTATGGAGTGACTCGTACAATCGAGGCTTGACTTGGAACACCATTTGCCAGCGCGAAAACATAATAGTAGCCTGGCAGTAAAACACCAGGATCAGAAGGTAGCCTGTACCTCGTCGCTCCGGCTCCAACACTCGTGCCACCTGAGAGTGGAACACGTCTAGAATCGGTGTCTGTCGAATGGGTGGAAGACCCCAAGCGAAGCAATGCCACTCTGATGCCATTTGTCCCAGATCCAGAAGAGCTGCTGACCGTAATGGTCATCTCGCCACCAACTTTCAACACACTTGGCTGGATGCTAGTAATGTTTGGTCGTTTTGCGAGTGTCACGCCATCCGCTTTCAAGAGGTAAGGAGGCGTGAAAATTTGCCCATCGAGATGATTCGCTGACCCGCAGAAATCACAAAGTCCGCCACCACCGGAGAAGACAGTTCCGTCTGGGAGTAAGGCTGCAGCTGAATGGTATGTTCTTGGTATACGGGAGTCGGCCAGATCAGTGAAGTTGTTGGTGACAGGATCCCACAGCTCAGGAACTGTCACGGCATCGTTGTCTGTGAACGTTCTTGCGTAGGTCTGGCCTCCCAGAATCAAGACTTGGCCGATGGGCAGCGTCACTGCGTTGGCAAACGCACGTGGGTGATTCATACCGCGTAGCTTGCGAACGTTTGCTTGTCCTGATGCTTGGTTGATGGTGATGACATTGGCATTATTGATCCCTGGCGACTGGTCGTAGTCAGGCGCACCACCGGCGGTGAAGATACTGCCAGTAGTAGCATCGTACATCTGGAAAACACCGCACATAGCATCTGTGTTGTCTCTGGTACCAGCAGAGGCAAAGCTTCCTTGTGAGTTCGTATAGAACCAGTTCATCGCTTTGCTTGGACCGGCTTGGAAGACCGAGCCATTCTTCCATGAGAAAAGCCAAGCGTGATTGTCAGAACGATACAATCCCTCCTTGTCGTTCGTTTCCAGTGGTGCCGTCGGGCAGCCAGGAAGGACTGTCCACTTCTTGGTATTGAAATCATATACCTCTCCGGTCTTGCCTCCAACTTGACCGCTGCCAGGCTGGTTGTTGGTGACCCGGATCCAGGATCCGCCAATGGTGAAGAGCCTCCCATCTGACAAAGTGACTTGTGATTGGTATCCTCGTGGTATAGCCAGCTCAGGAGCAACCACGAACCCACCTCCACTTCCTACAGTATGTACGCTGACCTTCTTGGTGCTAGAGCCGCCTGTAACGACCACACTCCCGTCAAACGCTGAGCTGATGCCAGGACAGAACATGTCATGATTGGTGTTGGAGACAAGTCTCTCAGTCACGGTGCCTGTCTTGGGATCATAATAAGCGGAAAAGGTCTGGCCGTATTGTCCAAGACCATGCATGTTGCGTAACCCAGAGGACCACGTAAGTAGCCTACCGTCTGGCAAGGCGGCCACTGCCGCTGGTACTAGAGGGAATGGAATGCTGTTGCTCCATTTCCCGAGGTTCTTTGGCGAGTTTCCACCTGGCGTCTTCGCAACCAGCTCTATGGTTTCCCAGTCCGAGTTGTACAGCCATCGTGACTGCTTACCATCTTTGAGATGGCAGCCTGAGTCTCGCGGAAGATAGGCTGCTCGCGAGCACCCTATTCTCTTCGCGCATAGATTGGCGCAGTCCGCTCGCGATAGACCTCCCTGAAATTGAAGCGTGATCCCATCGTACACTGTCCTTGGACAGACAGACCAAGTTGCAGAATCCGAGGTGGTAACATTGTAGGCCGTCGAAGGTCATTTGGTCACAACTTCGTCGTTCTTCAACCGAGGAAGCATGCGAATGGAGTCGAAGTTGGAGTTCGACACCACTCGCAGCGTCGTGCTGGTTCCTTTCAAGTGGCATGCGTTGCTGCGCTTGTCGAAGGAAGCAGAAACACAAGAGCTGGTGCCTCGCTGTGCGCAGAGCTGAGCACACTCGGTGGAGGATCTGGATCCCAAGATGTCGAAGCTCGGCGCGTTGTAATCGGTCCCGACACAGATCCCCCATATGCTGCCATCCCTGGCAGTATATTCGCTTTGCTGAGTAGGGCAGGAATTCTGTGCGGCAATTAATAGAGCATTGTACAGCAATGCAGCTAGGCACAGAGCCTGACCAAAGCTGCGAGATCCAGCCATGCTCGTTCCTGGGCAAGACGAAAGAGAGAAATGCCTCGCAGTTTGCGTCTCTCGCGGGGTTGTACTTCCATGCGCTGAAGGAGACTCCTTTATGCTCTAGCCGTATGTACGCCCAGCCCGTGTTTCTTCACGGGTTGACTCGCCGCCCGGCAAGGAGTAATGTCGCTAGACAAGCCTCGACGCCTTCCACAGAGAGTCTCGGTGTCTTGGCTGTTCCCATCATGTGCAATTTCTCACCCCCAAAGTGAAAAAGCACTGGATGACTCTGCCCTAAAGTTCTTGTCTTGTAGTGAAGGTTCAATAGTTGGAGGTAATGCCGAGCGGCTGCGAAGTATACGGCCGTGATCTACAGAGCGCTAGAAGCGCCACGATCGATGCGAATAGTAACATAGTGCTTTTGTCGATGTGCCAAGTTCGTGTTTGGTGATGGAAAGACAGCGAGGAAGTGCGTGGCGGCCTCACTTGCAGTTGAAGTGACTCGGTCTACTTTCGCTTGGCTCTGTGGAAGTGCATGGCTGACCAGTGCTCTAAGTATGGCCATCTCTGCCGAAGGCTCTGCCGAGTGTGTACCGAATTCCTACAAATTAGTCCATTCTGTGCTTCGAAATCATGGGAGAAGTTTCATCTGTTGCAGACTGGCGCCATAATGTACCAGCAAGTTCATCAAAAGTCTTGGCGGGCGCTCTCTTCCCGCTGACACTTTAGAGGCTCCCGACCATCTCATAGATCATCGAAGAGAGCCAGCATTGAAAGCCTCGTACGCCACACAGGCACTCTCACGAGTCACTGAGGCATCGTGCCAGTATCAGCTGCACCACGAAATTCTGACATCTCGAACGAGGCCGTGAGACTTGGCAAGCTCCTCCTGGACCAGATACGTGCGAACAGGCAGCATACGCACATGGCCAGGTCAGTGAACGAGATGAGCACTTTCGATGTGAAAATCGAGGAGCACCTAGATTCTGCGACCTGTCGAATATCTTGCGGGATTCGAAATCCCCGGCATATGACAACAAGTCAAAGTCCGGGGGTCACATCGGGAGACGCTGGAGGAGAAGTCGGCCGGCGCTCGATTCTCAGGTTAAGATGGCATCTCGAGTGCAGTGCTTGTCACTGCTCCAGAGAAGGCTGCAGTCGTGCCTAGTCGTGTCGCTGGCGATGGCCATGATGTTCTGCGATTGATTTCGTGCAGTGTTCCCTTAGCGATCACCATGCGCAGACGATCAGTAGGTCTTCGTATCAAAGCCAGCGGTGGAGACTCCGTCGCGTGCTGCGATTGCAATTCTGTGATATCTGGACAAATTGTGGTCGTGTCGTGTCACAAGTTTGATGTGTCTTCGCGCCAAGAAGTTTGAGCAAGTCCGCGTCTGAGCTTGCATCGCAGCTGCAGCTGCAGCTCGGAGATCATCGCAGCCAAACTCCTCCCGACATCACTTTTTCCGAGCATCCATCTCCCTTGAGCTCCCCGCCATGTCAGACCGCAGTGCCTCTCGCGGGCGCTCGCGCACACCCGGACGCCCAGCGACGGCGGCCAGCGAAGATGCGCGGCGGTCGAGATCGCGTTCCAACGACCGCGCCAATGGCCAGGACAACCGCAGTCCCAGTCGCTCACGAAGCCGCGATCGATCCATGGCCTCTCGCAGCAGGTCTCGCACTCCTCGCAGCGCCCAGAGCGGCTCGCGTTCACCGGCCCCTTCACAGCCACGTTCGGCCAAAATTGTCATCGAGAAGCTCACCAAAAACGTCA